TTTTGATATACAATTATTTGTGAATTAAAGTATGCTGAAGTTTTGCTAGTATATGCTGCATGTGCATTTGTGTGTGAGTGTGATCTCTCTCTCTGTGTGTGTGTGTGTGTGTGTGTAACTCTCTCTCTGTGTGTGTGTGTGTGTGACACAGGCACATGTTCCTCCTATCCTAAGAGTTAATTAATAGTTAATTAGATCCACATTATTAAGAAACTGGCAGTATCTGTATCAGGGTGTCTTCTCTCATTGTGTCTTCCTACCTCCATGACACTTGACTCTGCAGTCCACCCTACCTAAGGATTAATTGCATACTGTAAACATATGTACAGTATGCGTGCTCAATGTTTTATTTTAATATATGACTATCTACATCAGGGTTCCTCAAATCTTACCCTGGAGGTCCAATGCGCTGCAGAGTTTAGCTCCAACCCTGATCAAACTCAGCTACCGGAGATTTTCTAATGATCCTGAAGACATTGATTAGGGTTAGAGCTAAACTGTGCAGGAAAGTGGATCCCGTGGGCCAGATTTGAGGATCCCTGCTATAGGTTTTTGATGTGTTAGACCAGGGGTGTCAAACTTAATTCCAGGAGGGCCGCAGCCCTGCAGAGTTGAGTTCCAACCCTGCTCCAACACACATACCATGTAGTTTTCAAATAAGCCTGAAGGACTTGATTATCTGGATCAGGTGCATTTAATTAGGGTTGAAGCTAAACTCTGCAGGGCTGTGGCCCTCCAGGAACGGAGTTTGACACCCCTGTATTAGACTATATTGCAAGTAGCCTACATCAGTTTTTACCCTAAATCCCACTTTATCTGCTGATGCAATTCAGTAACAGGCTCGTTAACACTTAAGCTAACCAATTATCACGAAGCAATGACATTTTAAAATATACTGGGGTTCTATTCTAAGCTTACAACTGTTTAATACAATGTAGGCTACTGTCAAAAAAAAAAAAAAAACAAGAGCTAACTGGCAGAAGTAGGGTGAAAATGACTTGTGCTAGCTGTATTTTCTGTTTTCTTCTTGCCTCAGCGGCTAGGGTTGTCAACTTCAGAAAAGGAAAATAAGGGACAATCGTGGTTTTTCGTAGAAAAATAAGGGACAGAATAAGGGATTCACACACACAGGCCTATTATGTATATCTGATATATATCTCTTTTATATAATAAAAAAAAAATGTATGGAGTCTTATCTCATCAAGGCTGTATTTATTTGATCAAAAATACAGTAATATTGTTCAATATTATTGCAATTTCTAATATTGGTTTCCTACCTTATTATACTTTAAAATATAATTTATTTCTGTGACGCAGCACTGAATTTTCAGCATCATTACTCCAGTCCTCAGTGTCACATGATCCTTTAGAAATCATTCTTATGCTGATTTATTATGAATGTTGAAACTTGTGCTGCTTAATTTTTTTTTTGGAACCTGTTCCATAAATAAAACAAAAAGTTAAAAAGAACTGAATTTATTCAAAATATAAATATTTTCTAACAATATTACTTTTTATCCATTTAACACATCCTTGCTGAATAAAAGTATTCTAAAAGTTTCTTTAAAAAAAGAAAAGAAAATAAATTTACTGACCCCAAACTTTTGAATAGTAGTGTATATTTAACACAGAATTTTTATATTGATTAAATACTGTTCTTTTTAACATGTTATTTATCAAAGAATCCTGAAAAAAATATCACTGGTCCCAAACAATAATAAGCAGCACAACTGTTTCCAACACTGATTATAAATCAGCATATTAGAAAAAAAAATTACTCCATTAGCGCAAATCCCGTTCACAAATCAAACACTTGTCAAAAAAGAATGATTAATTCTCAATTTAGAGTTTGTTATTCGTATAGTCTAGGTGGTCATACGGCATATGCCTTAAATACGGGACAAACTGTATAGCTTTCGGTTGGCAAACCTAACCCAAACACACATATCTGAAAGTCTAACTGAGTATCCTAAAGAATCAAATCAACTTGTGGAAAATGGGCATCCTATGACCCCCAATGTAAGTTAACATGAAATCAAAATTGACCCTGTTTACTTTCCTAATACACATTCCTTGATGTATTGCATATGATCATCAGTGCACTATATTTAAAAGAAATCAAAATATGAGTTATTGATGAATGGCTTTTAATGAATGTTAACCAGAGATTTTAATGTTAACTAATAACTGGCTACAGTATTGAGGCATTATTTTATGCCAGTTTTTATTTATTTTTTTATTATTTTATGTTTATTCTTTATTCTAATAATGGCAGTTAACTTTAATAAAAGCAGTTTAAGTAATCAACTCCTTTTTTAATTATTTTATTCTATTTCTGAGATGCATGTCATGGCACAATTGCAGTATATTAAAAATATAACCGCACAACTCATCTTAAAAATGCAAACATATTTATTAATCAACATGTTCTTCATCAAGGTATTAAAAGCAGTCAAATCCAAATTGGTGTTTTTTTACACTACCATTAAGAAATTTTAACCAAACTATATTACAGACTTTTCATTAAGATCCTAAAGAATCAAATCAACTTGTGGAAAATGGGCATCCATATGATCATCAGTGCACTATATTTAAAAGAAATCAAAATATGAGTTATTGATGAATGGCTTTTAATGAATGTTAACCAGAGATTTTAATGTTAACTAATAACTGGCTACAGTATTGAGGCATTATTTTATGCCAGTTTTTATTTATTTTTTTATTATTTTATGTTTATTCTTTATTCTAATAATGGCAGTTAACTTTAATAAAAGCAGTTTAAGTAATCAACTCCTTTTTTAATTATTTTATTCTATTTCTGAGATGCATGTCATGGCACAATTGCAGTATATTAAAAATATAACCGCACAACTCATCTTAAAAATGCAAACATATTTATTAATCAACATGTTCTTCATCAAGGTATTAAAAGCAGTCAAATCCAAATTGATACAAATCATGTCTCATCCTTCTCTTTTTCACTTGTAAATATCTCATTACGAAAGTGAAATTGGTGTTTCATGCTTACTGTAAGTCATAATGAGTTTTAGAATTATTGTTGTTATTAATGAATAGTAACATCTAAAAATATCTATCTTCTTTCCATGTGTAATGCAAGATTTCACAACCCAGCCAGAGAGCCTAGCTTGGTCTATGATGTAATTTTGCCAGTGGATGATGACATCCAAATTTCTGTTACTCGGTACCGAAAAAATTCTTTGAGGTGAGTGGAAACTTTTCATTCATTATTTTCTCATTTTTCACAGATTCGTTTTGACCTTTTTTCTCATGCTTTGCCTCAAGCAGTCATAATGTTGTGAGTGTACACAGTCATATGATTTCTGTGTTATGTTAACAAATGCTGTGTCACAGTGACAGAAATCTTTCCTTCTGAAAACTTATCACATTGACTGAGCATAATTAATCGTCACTGAAGTTCAAAAGGTTGGGGTCAGTATGATTTTTTAAAGAAAATAATAATAATAATAAAATTCAGCAGTAAAGACATTTAATGTTACAAAAGCGTTTCAAAATTTAATTTAATTAATTAAATTTATTTATGCATTTAGCAGATGCTTTTATCCAAAGCGACTTACAGTGCATTCAGGCTATACATTTTTTACCAGTATGTGTGTTCCCTGAGAATCAAACCCACGACCTTTTGTGCTGCTAACGCAATGCTTTACCACGGAGCCACAGGAATACTTTTATCATATTAGAAAACTTCTGAAGGGTCATGTGACACTGAAGACTGGAGTAATAGCTGCTGGGAATTCAGCTTTGCCATCACAGGAATAAATAACATTTTAAAATATATTCAAATAGAAACAGTTATTTTACATTGTAATAATATTTTGCAATATTAAATTTTACTGTATATTTGATTAAATAAATGCAGTCTTAAAAATCATTAAAAATATTAGAAAAATTTAATCGACCGCAACTTTTGTATGTTAGTGCGTTTATAGTAAAAATATATTAGCAAATGCTTAAAAACTACTTTCCTCTTTATCTTTCCAATTTCTCCTGTAAAAGATGATCCTGTAAAAAAGAACCAGTCGGCAAATGCAAAAACAATTTCATTTCAGACAGAAATCAGAGGAGAAGACTGCAGAAGAGAATGGGGACAGTGAAATGGACAAAAGTAATGAAACAAGTGCTGGCTCTCAAGGAGAATGCAAGCATGCTGGGGATGGAGATCATGACAGGAAATCTCCTAATGACAAGAAGAGCTCTAATGGAACTGGAGCAGCTGTTGCAAAACCTCTCAGTAGGCCTGCGCAAACACACTCAGCTCCTGAAAGCACCAGCCCAGCAGTGAGCCCCAGTGCGGACATAACCTCTTATAACCCCATCACACACATGCCTAGTGAGTTCTGTTTAGTAGTGGTTGTACAATAACATTCAATTACCACACTTATACATTCAATCATGTGCAATGCACATATGGGTTTGGTCACTGAAGGTCCTTGTTTCAACTTTTATGATATTAAACAATATATACTACTGAAGAATATTCTAAAAAAGTATGTTTTTAAAAAAAAGAAAATAATACTTTCATTCTGCAGGGGTTCATTAAATGGATCAAATGAAAAGCATTTATCACGACAATAAAAGCATTTATCATTTTTTTACTTTTTCGCTATAAGCAGCACAATTTTTTTTTTTTACATTGATAATAAAAATAAATGTTTTTTTTTAACAATGAATCAGCATATTATAATTTTTAAAGGATCATGTGACACTGAAGACTGGAGTAATGGCTGCTGAAAATTCAGCTTTTATAAATTACATGTTAAAATATATTAAATTAAATTAGATTTAAGTTATTTTAAATTGTAAAAATATTTCACAATATTACTGTTTTTACTGTATTTGTGATCAAATAAATGCAGCCTTGGTGAGCATCAAAATCAAGTAAAAAAATCTTACAGACCCCAAACTTTGGAATGTTAGTATATTACTCATTGGATAGCCATAAAAGGTATCATCCATTAATTTTCCAGATGGTTTAGTCAAACCGCACAGCATCTCATCCACATTGGATTGGGAGGAGGAATTAAGATACTGGAGGTGTACTGCCAACAGACGGTGCTAATGGGTCTGTGGTACGTCCTACTGTCTCAAATGACATTTCATTTTATATAAGAGCTGTTGTCTATTTAACATTTGAAGACATTTTAAATGGTAATATGGTGCAATTTTCTTTGGTAACATCTTCAATGTCCACAAAATGTTTCATTTGTTCATTCTTTCCCTCAGGGTGTAGACCAGCGAGGTCGTTCCGCCCCTGTGGCACGCACAAACACTTTCTCTCTCACATTAGCACAGACCCCAAATAATCCCCTGCTTTGCAAGGATGAACCCATTGCTTCTCCTGGGTTATGTGTCACCTCTGCTCGCCTTGGTGAGTGGCCTTTTGTTTTTTGGGGGGTTAACTCTTGTGTACTCTGACCTGGGAACAATCAATCTGCCAACACAATCTATTGGTTGATGCTGTTTATGTCACAAGATAGAAAGCAGTGCCATTTTGAGAATGCCATCTGTTCTAATGTGTGCATTCTTCCTTTTTTATGCTAAAACCTTTTTGTATCTTAGATCACTTTTTTAATTAATGATATGTCTGATATGTTTTATGTTTTTCCTCCTAATGATATCTTAATATCCCACTGTACAGAACCAGCAGTCTAATTTGCATTCACGTGATGCCAAGCTTCCTTCAAAGTTCAGCAAGAAGGTGTTCCAGATGTTTGAATGTTTCTGCAGCCGGTGATCTTCGCGCCAAACTAGGCAGCTATTCTCAGGCGTATGGGACTATTAGCAAAAGTGGATTGGATCTTCTTAGGAATTGCCACTAAGGTGTGAAGTGTGAGATTCGTGGAGAGATCATGAGGCAGGTAGACGGTCGTTGGAATCTCCCAGATCAAATAGAAATGGTGGATTTCACATGACAAGCTAATTACACCATCATCACATGCTTTGAAGATTATCGCCATTGTGGATTAGTGCTGCCATTAACTTTTTTCCTGATCAGTTTAAATTCAGGTGTCAGCTTCATGTTTGTAAATATGTGGTGAAAACATTTATTAAACATGTAGAGAACATCTATGCAATTTGTATGTGTCTTGGCTTAAGAAACTTTAACAATCATTAAGACTTGAACTATCAAAATATTTTTAGGGCAGTGGTTCTTCAACCATTTTAATGATATATTAGTATTATATTATTTTAATTGAACTTTTATTGACCAATTTTATTTAATTTTGTGGCCCCTTGGAAGTTTGTTGATGTCTCCTAGTTGAGAACCACTTTATGAAATTTATATTTAGGGGATATACTTATTTTTCCACACAAATGAACCAAATGAATATATATATATTTTTTAAAACTTCAAAAGATAACATACTGAGCATTAAATCTCCCTTTTCATACATCAAATGATTGGCCTGCCTTGTTAGATCATTTTAATGATGCAAAACAATGGAGAACCTCGTTAAACAAATCTTTCTTCAATACACTGAGTTACTACAGAACCATCTGTAAGGGAGCATTTACCTTAATGTAATTTCTAAGCCCTATTTCTCACTCTAAACATTCACTATTGTTCACTGAGAACCCCTGAACGCTGGAAACGGGCATTTTCTGTCTCCTCCAAATATCTGTTCTATCTTTTAACATATATTCGACTCATGTAGATATTTTTAGAAAAATTCTATCAATTACGTAATGGGAAAGTATTACGCCACACATTTAATGAGCATTTGAGTCGCATCCGTACAGTGCGAAGACGTTTCTCTAGAGTCATGTGACTTCTCATAAACGTCACACGCTCAGGCTCTGACAGAGGCGCGGTGGGCGTGGCTAACGGATTCAGAGCAGCAGACAAGTCGAGCATCACTGCAGCTGCGTAGACGCAAACCAACAAACACGGACTCTATTTTTGTTGTCATTTTGTAAACAAACGTTGCATTTTGCTGCGCGTCTCATAAACTGAAGGGTAAGTCTGTCTCAATTTTCTGTCAACGCGTTGCATTTGCTAATTTCTAAGCAAATATTGTTGAATAACGCAGGTGGATGGACATGGCGCTCGTGTTGTCATGGTGTTGTTTGGTGCGCCAGATTATGGTTTATGTTTTCACGCGATTCAATGAGTCCGCTCAGTCAACACACATTTCTGTCGTTTTAGAGATGTAGAACCTTTTTTGTGCCTTATTCTGCTACGATTGACGTTATATATTACAACAAATGTGTTGGTTCATATATTGACGACATGCGCAGCGGGCCACCCGGTTATACCAGCGACAGATTAACACAGATTTATTGTTACTTAGGTTAACCTACTCCAGTTTTGATTGAGCTAATAAAACGGCTTACTTGTGTGTATATTTTATTTTAGATTTTTAAATGGTTTTCCTGTCATAAATTTGCTGCTGAATGGAGGAAAGTGGTATTTAAAATGCAGTTTACGCCAGTGTCCCATGCGACTCATTAAAACGGCTTCATTTTTTTAAACCTCTTGAGTTTGTTAAATCTTAAGTAATTGGAGACCCTATCTACAAAACCTTTGTTATGGGTACTTGTTAGTGTTAGTAGGTCAGTTTGAATGAAGTGGTGGTCGCATAATTTGTGGAAAGCCATTTAACTTTTCTAACCAACTAGTGTCTACTTTTAAGTTACTAATACTTATTTTTAACTACTAGTAGGTAATCCAATAATGACAAATACAGGTCAGTTTCACCATTCATTAAATACTAGTACTCATTATTTACACTGGAAAAAAAATTTCATTCATCCAATTAAAAAAAATTTAGGGTAATGATTCACGTCTATATTTTTTAACTTTTACTTTTAGTCATTTAGCAGACACATTTATCTTAATTAATATCTTATTAAGCGACTTACAAATAAGAAAAAGTAATTAAAACTAAAATCTAAAACTCTATAAATACTCATATATATATATATATATATACATACACAGTGGGTACGGAAAGTATTCAGACCCCCTTAAATTTTTCACTCTTTGTTATATTGCAGCCATTTGCTAAAATCATTTAAGTACATTTTTTTTCCTCATTAATGTACACACAGCACCCCATATTGACAGAAAAACACAGAATTGTCTGCTCGGTGGAGTCGCACGGTAGAATCGATGGTCTTTACACTCTTTGGTCTTCTCACGACCGCAGCCGCTTCCGCGGTAAACTAAGCTTTTTTTTTATTCGTTTAACAAAACTCAAATTGAATTCAGCTGGACACACTTTCCTGTTTATCACAACAAATGGCCAAGCAAAGTGCACGACACTGACAAGGTACGCGATACAGTACGAGACCAACTAACTTGAGCCAAAGAAAAATAAATAACTTGCCCTAAACAATATTTTCTCTATGAAAACTATTTTATAAAACCTGGCACAAAGTATATTTTTCTTGTTGAAGAAAGTCAATTAAAAGCAAACAAATATGTTAATTTAAAAACACAACAAAAAATAAATTTTTTATCTGGAAACATTTCCCCATAAAACATGAAAAAACTAGTTTAACAAACTAACATAAAACAGTTTATCTCAGAATCACAACAAACGGCATCAAAACTATATGGTTTTATTCCACTCTGAGTTCACAATATTGGCAGTACTGAATTTTAGGTGCTAACTCACCTTTTCCGAGGTTGAGCATTACCTGCTGAATAAAATATAAAGTGCTTTTCATACACTTATTCCAAGTGCAGGGCATAAATCAGTCTGAAAAAAATGGACATCGAAGGCCTGAGATCGGTCGTTTCATCCATTACAAAGTTTTCTTTCAAGATGATTCCCACTCTAGATGGGTTAGCTGTGGACTTACTTGATCAACGCTGAGGATTCTTACTGGAGTCTGTCTTGTCAGCTGCATCCTAACAGAGGAAGAAACAGATCGACAAAGACATTATCAAGTCAGTTAGATAATGCTGTTGTCAAATACTCAAGATGCTGTGTTCACACCATGTTCTACTTAGAGCTGTTCATGTCCTTGGACCGGGAACTGTGCATTTCTATGGCAACACTATCATGCCTAAATTAATCTGCAGCAGTCGGGTACAGTCATGTGGTACAAATAGAAGCTCTCAGAAAATTCCCGGATTACAGATGGTAATTATGAGTTCTACAAGGACATGAATTCTTTTTCCAAGTTTGAATCCTTGTACCGTATTGACCCGAATATAAGACGATGTTTTTTTCTTGGAAATACGTCTGAAAAAACGTGGTCGTCTTATATTCAGGGTCTAGACTTTGACATGTCAATAATACACCCACAACAATAGGTGGCGCCAAATAAGCATAAAACGAGTGTGCCATGAAATACGTAATGTAATGTGAAAACGAAAAAGAAAACCTTACAGCTGCATGAG